GGCCAGGCACGGTGGCTCATGCCTGTAATTCCAGCACTTTGGGAGGCCAAGGCAGGCAGATCACTTGAGGTCAGGAGTTCGAGACCAGCCTGGCCAACATGGTAAAACCCTGTCTCTACAAAAAATACACAAATTAGCTGGGCATGGTGGTGGGCACCTGTAATCCCAACTACTTGGGAGGCTGAGGCAGGAACACCGCTTGAACCTGGGAAGCGGAGGTTGCAGTGAGCTGAGATTGCGCCACTGCACTCCAGCAGCCTGAGTGACAGAGGGACACTGTCTCTCTCTCTCTCACACACAGACACACACACACACACACACACAGAGGAACCTGGGAGACGCCAAGACAACTAGGGTGGACTCCATTGTATAGATGGGGAGCTTTGGGCCCGAGATGAGTGACTTCCCCAAAGATGCACAATTGCCCAGCTTCCAGGGTTTGGTCCTGACAGATAAAGGCCTCAAACTCCCCCCACCCCAAATCCCAGAGCCCCCATAGACAGCGCTCGACACTCAGTCCCTCTGCCTGCCCCAGATTTCATTCAGAAGCTGCCCACTCAGCTTCACACCGCCTAACGGAGCTGGCCTTGCAGCCCGGCCTGCCCGGGGCCGGCAGTGTTCAGTCAAGCCTTGCTGAGATACCCCCAGGTCTGTACTCAGCGTCAGCCCAGCTCCTAGATTTCTGTATTACTTCTCTGGTTCTCTACTGGGGACCCCAGAGTACCTGAGAATAGCGGGCTTCTGGACGGGGAGCAAGCCATTGGAAAAGTGCCCCAGTGATTGCCTGGGCAGCACCGGTAGAGAAGCACCCTTGTTTCCTAAGGTCCTCTAAGTTCAGTGTGAAGAGGGTGATCGCCCCCCTGAACCCACCAGGCCCACCTAATGGAAGTCCACCCATGAATGTTACCACACCGCCCAGCCCAAAGGGTACCGGTTCCTCCACTTAGCACTCTTGCCCTGGGCCATCTGGGCCCTATGGGAATCTTGGTTCCCATGACCACCAACAAACCCACAAACCCATCCTCTAGGGCCTCCAATCTGGGTTATGTCGTTAACCAAGGGCCTCTCCCTCCTGGACATCTGGGGTGCCATCTGGGTCAAGTAAGCAGTCTGTGTTGGGATGAACACTTGTTAGCCTTTTTTAAAAAATTATTTTACTTATTTTAAAAAAAAAGAAAAAAAGGGTGTCGCTATGTTCCCTAGGCTGGTCTTGAACTCCTGGATTCAAGCGATCCACCTGCCTCAGCCTCCCAAAGTGCTGGGATTACAGGCCAAGCCACCGTGCCTGGCCTCACATTAGTCTTTGAGGACAGTACTCTCACAGGCCCCTCGTAATTTCATTTTTTGAGAACTGATACTTGGGTATTTCCCAGAGTTCCACCGCAACATGGAAATGAGGAAGGGGTTGGTTTAGAATTTCTGGTAACACGCATTTTCTCCAGCTGTGTGTTAGGAGTGAGGCCAGTTTGGGACTGTGTGGGAGGGACAGAGTCAGGTCAGAGCTGATATGGTGAGGACAGGTGGGAATGTGTTGGAGGGGTACTTTGTAGGGGTGCTCCAGGGTGCAGTTGGGGTATACTTGGGCTGGTGGGGTACCTTGGCTACACAGTGCCCTTGGGAAGGAACAAGCTTGTTAACCCTTTGGTGTCCACAGCCCCAGAAACCTGAGCATGAGCAAATTCTGCCTCCCAAGAAGGTCACTAACGCCAACCACCCTCCCTCCCGCCCTCCCGGGACCAGGTGGGGAGGGCTGTATTTTGGATTTACACAGGCGGTCTCACCTCGGCTTCTGTTCTTCCTAGAGGATATGTTTGCATGGCAAATCGATTTCAATGGTGGGGACCGCTGGAAGGTGGAGAGCCTCCCTGGAGCCCACGGGACAGATTTTCCTGACCCCAAAGTCAAGAAATATTTTGTCACATCCTACGAGTAAGGCAAACTGAACCTACCAGGCTTGCATGGAGGGGACAGAGGGTTAGGACACCTTTGCCAAGTCTCAGGCAAAGTCTTCTAAGGGAACGCCTCTCTGTGAAGCTCAAGGGAGGTGGCCCCAAAACTTGCCCAGAGTCACTGCTTCCTGGAGTCACTCAGTGCTGTGTTCATGGACAGTGGGGGTGGGGATCACTGAAGCAGGCCAGGAGTCCATTGGGTGGTTAAGATAAGCCAGGGCTATCTACAGGCATCCATCCCTAAGCTAGGAACTTGAGTTTACAAGAGTGCCCTGCCTGGTGCTCTGGAACACTGGGCCTTTGGACTGGAATCAGATGCCACCCAGGCACAAGTGGGTCAGACTCCCTCCTACACTGGAGGAGAAACCAGTCAGCCCCAGCCAGTGCCTGTCCTGCAGCGGCCAGAGGATACCCTAAGTCCCCAAACCACCTCCCTGGGCTCACAGGGGCTGCCAAGGCTTGGGTGAGGGGGGGCCATGCATAGCACACCCAGGTACGCAAGCCCCCAACTCTGCTCCCCAGAATGTGCCTCAAGTCCCAGCTGGTGGACCTTGTAGCTGAGGGCTACTGGGAGGAGCTATTGGACACATTCCGGCCGGACATCGTGGTTAAGGACTGGTGAGTAGGGTCCATGGCCTGTGTCCCCCACTCTACATGCTCGTCTTACTGCTGTGCCGGGTGAGACAAGCCATAGCAAGTGCCCACTGTGCCCAGCAGTGTCCTAGAGCCAGGTAGCCCTGGCCTCTGCCCCCGCTCTGTGCCCAGACCCTGCGGCACCTCCTGGCCTCCCCACCACCCTGTGACGCAGTCAGCAGGACACAGCAGCGCCAGTGTGCAGATGAGGAGGCTGAGGCCCCCAGGTGGGTTGTCATGGACAGGCACTTTTTTTATTTGAGAGTCTCGCTCTTTTACCCAGGCTGGAGTGCAGTGGCGCGATCTTGGCTCACTGCAACGTCCACCTCCCACGTTCAAGCGATTCTCCTGCCTCAGCGTCCCGAGTAGCTGGGATTACAGTTGCCCACCACCACGCCCGGCTATTTTTTTAATCATTTTAATACAGATGGAGTTTCACCATGCTAGTCAGGCTAGTTTCAAACTCCTGACCTCAAGTGATCCACCCACCTTGGCCTCCCAAAGTGCTGAGATTACAGGCGTGAGCCACTGTGCCCGGTCAACACTGACAGGCACTTGGGCAACAGAGGACCTCAGGCCTCTCTGGACTGGGTGGAAATCCCCAGGTCCCCTGACCTACCTGCCTCCCTGGCTCCTTTTCCTATTCATCCCATGACTCTTTTTTGAGCTCCTACTCTGTGCACAGGAGTGTGCCAGGCTCTGGCTTGGCCGGTGGCAGAAGCAGGACCCCAGTTCTAGGCAGGCCCCAGGGCCGCCACTCTGAGGATAAATGGGTGAGGATGGAGGAGTCTGCAGAGCTGCAGAGGGGAGAGGTGGCTGGGCTGGGCTGAGCAGAAGGTGAGCTCTGTGCCAGCCCCATTACACAGGCCACCCCCTTGACTCTCCCACTGAATCCACAGCCTGGTCCATTGTAAGTACAGGTGACGTGGCTTGGACAGACCAGGCCTCTCTGGAGGGGTCTTTTGCTTTTTGAGGTCACATCTTTAGTAGTATGCCCGAAAGGGTCCCTTTTCTCAGATGGGGTAACTGAGGCCAGCATGGACCAACTGCTTACCCCCAGGCCACAGTGGGGCATAGGGAGCGCTGCCAGCTGGGCCTAGCAGGCAGAGCAGTGTTGGCTGATGGGAAATGAAGCTCCAAGCTCCAATGTGTAGGTCCCCCCTGCCCCCAGTGCTGGGGCCAGCCCTTGGTGGCTTGGACACAGGGCTCTCAACCCCTCCACCAGGTTTGCTGCCAGAGCCGACTGTGGCTGCACCTACCAACTCAAGGTGCAGCTGACCTCAGCTGACTACTTCGTGTTGGCCTCCTTCGAGCCCCCACCTGTGACCATCCAACAGTGGAACAATGCTGCATGGACAGAGGTGAGGCCTCACCCACTTGCTCTCTCTACCCACTCCTCCCAGGGCCAGGATGGCAGGAAGCAAGGGGCAGCCTCAGGGCCCAAGGTGCCCCTGCTCTCTGGCCTGGAGCTGTTGCCTTCCCACCTGGGCAGCTCTCTTAGAGGACCTGGCTCCTGCCTTCCCCTCCCCAGTCCTGGTGGTCACTTCCTGTCCCCTCCTCCCGGCAGGTCTCCTACACCTTCTCAGACTACCCCCGGGGTGTCCGCTACATCCTCTTTCAGCACGGGGGCAGTGACACCCAGTACTGGGCAGGCTGGTATGGGCCCCGAGTCACCAACAGCAGCATCGTCGTCAGCCACAAGAGGACCAGGAACCAGGCCTCCTCTGAGGCTCAGCCTGGGAAGAAGCATGGACAGGAGGAGGCTGCCCAATCGCCCTACCAAGCTGTTCTCCAGATTTTCTGACAGCTGTCCATACTGTATCCGGGTCAGCCAGAGGTTCCTCCATGCAGGAGCTGAGCATGGGGTGGGCAGTGAAGTCCCTGTACCAGCGACTCCTGCCCCAGTTCAACCCTACCAGCTTGTGGAAACTTACTGTCACATAGCTCTGACGTTTTGTTTTAATAAATGTTTTCAGGCTGGGCACGGTGGCTCACGCCTGTAATCCCAACACTTTGGGAGGCCAAGGCGGGCAGATCACGAGGTCAGGAGATCGAGACCATCCTGGCCAACATGGTGAAATCCCGTCTCTACTAAAAATACAAAAAATTAGCCGGGCGTGGTGGCGGGTGCCTGTAGTCCCAGCTACTCGGGAGGCTGAGGCTGAGCTTGCAGTGAGCCAAGATCACACCACTGCACTCCAGCCTGGGAGACAGAGCGAGACTCCGTCTCAAATAATAATAATAATAATAATAATAAATAAATAAATAAATAAATAAAAATTAAAAATACATGTTTTCAGTAAAATCAGCCTGGGGTTGGTTTTAGGAGTGGGGAGAGGGGGTCCCTGGCATTTTGGTGGAGAAGCAGCACCCCCCCACCAGGTTTTCCCCTGGCCATACCTGTCCGTCCCACTCTGGTTAATGATGGCATCAGCTCAGCCCAGCCCTTGGGGCCCCTTTATTGAAAGAACTCACAGCACAGTATTTGAGACAGACAGTGTTTGCCGGCGGAACCCCAGGAGGCTGAGAAGTCGAGGTTGCGGCATACTTCACTGCCTCCTGGGGGAGGCATCCTCCAAGCAGACCTGAGCGGCCCCGGGCTGGGGCGGGCGATCCACACACAGAGGCGATAAGAGCACTTGGAATCAGGGCAGCCATGCAGCACTGCCCTAGGCGGGGATCCCCCAAAGTCTGACAGTTCGGGCATCAGTGAGGTGGCAGATGCCCCCTCAGCTGCCTTTGTGAGCACGCTCTTCCACGTAAAGCTGCATCTGACGAACACAAACAGCCACAGTCAGCGAGACAGCCAGGGCATCCCTGCTGGAGGACACAGAAGCACCTGGTGGGCAGATCTCCGCCAAGGGTGGGGCCTCGTGGCCATAGCCGAGGTGGAGAAGAATAGAGACGGGAGGGGCTCTCCACCAGGCATTCCCTCGTTCTCTCCCCCAAGCCCTCTAGTAAGGCCTCAGTGCCGGGCCTCACTTCCTAAGCAGCCCCTAAATAAGCTTCCCACGTCCCCACGAAGCTCACCTTTAAAATGTCCGACGTCATGGTTTTTAGTGGTATCAGACGGGGGTCATGCATGTGGACATCCTGCTCATCTGCCAGGATCCAGGGGAAATCCTAGGGAGGGGACAAAGGTCAGGGGGGTGACGGAGCTGGGCCCTTGCCTGCCCTCACTTTGCTGTCCCTCCCACTCCAGACCAGGGGCCTACAACCTGAGCCTCAGAATCACTAGGAAGCTGTTGGTGATGCAGACCCCAGGCCCCCCATCCCCCACAGAGGCCAAGTCCATAGAACCCAAGGGACAAGCCCCAGGCACCAATGCTGAACCTGATGGGCCAGGACCCCTCCCTGGAGAGCCCCCACTTCAGAAGAGCCAGGATGAGCTGGGGGCCCCAGCAGGTGGCTCCACCTGAGCTCCTCACTGCCCCAAGTGCCCAGATGGAGCAGTGGCCAGGCCTGAGGACCTGCTGGGTACCAGGCACTGCTGCACCAATATAATGGATGGCTGGCCACAGGCAACGCCCCTGCCTGCCTGAAACTGCCACATCACGTTTCTAGAGCCTGCACCCAGACCCAGACCCGTCTCATCTCACCTTGATGACCTGGATCTTCTCCATGTTGCGAGTGGCGGCTTCTCTTGTGTGCACTAGGACTGTGAAGGTACAGCCTGGAGAAGCAAGAGGTTGGTGGAGGCTCCCCCGCCGCCCTGGTGCCTGCCACTGGGCCCAGCCTCTTCCCACTTCCCTTGCTGGCTCGGCAGCACCCCCAGAGCAGATGGCAAAGCAAGTGCTAAGAAAAGCCCCAGTCAATAGGGAGATGGAAGCCAGGTGGAATCAATCAGGGAAGCTTCCCAGAGGAGGTGGACTCTCAGGGTTAGGAAGAGATGAGTCTCAGAGCAGCCAAACATGGACCTGGGAACACAGACCAACCCGAGACAACCGTGGAAACGCCAAGGGAAGAGAGGGTGGGGAGTGGACACACCTGGGGGGTTGTGGTCCAGGACGGCATCGCACACGCTGATCTTCAGGATGAAGGCTCGGAGCAGCTGCTCCACGTGAGACAACAGGGAGTCTGAGCTGAGAGGAGAGGTCTTCCCATCACACTGGCGCCCTCCCCTCCACCCCAGGCATCAAGCCTGGATGTAGACCTGGGGTACAGAACCCCCTCCAGTGCCTCTGAGAGTGCTGCATGCCTAGGACCCAGCTCCCTATCCGGTCCACACAATTCAAACCAGCAAGGGAGTTTACAAGAAATGCCCAGCCCCACCCCAGACAAAGTCAGAATTTGGCGGGGGGCAGGGGAGATAGAGGCGATCTGAGGAGGCCTCCCTAGGTGGTTTTAATGTGCAGCCAGGCCCAAGAACCAGGACACCAAGCCAGGCGGGGAAAGGGCTTGCCTAAGGCCACACAGCCTGTGGGGACAGGTTGGGCATAGATTCCAGTGCCCTGACCTCACCATCGGAAGCATGCAGTTGACGAACTAACATATGTGCCAAAGGTCAACTTCAAGTTGACTGGACACTTGCCTGAGGAGTCAGAAAACTGGTTCTGTGTCCTGGGCTCTGCCCCTACCCAGGTGACCCTGGATAGCTCATGTCATTTCTCTGGACCCATCTCAGCTGCTCACAGGCTGTCCCCTTGTCAGGCTGGCGCATCTTGCCCTTTCTCCTCCCAGGCCTTTTCCAAGGTATTCAAGGGCCGCCTTAAAGGGGTAGGTGTGTTGCCAGAGACAGACCTGCTGCCAGCTAGTGGGCGAGGGGCAGGGGCAGCCCACCTGATGGACAGCAGTGGAGGCTGGGTGATCTCAAAGACGAATTTCTCCACTGGGCGGTGCTCTTTATCCAAAATCACCACCACCACTTTCTCCACATCATTCTGCAAGGAGAGGAACCCCCGCTGCAGAGCCAGGCACCCCACCCCCACTCCACCACCCCGCCTCCACCCCCTTGCCCAAGGAAGGACGGGAAGCGGCCCACTCACAGCCCTGCTCAGCTGCTAGTCTGGGCGTCCGCAAGAGCCCAGATAGCCCGGGTTTGAGAAGCTGGCACCCTCCGGTATGAGCGGTGCAGGCTGAGGGAATAACCAGGCCCCATAGGGAAGGTCCCAGGAAGTCTGAGATCAGGACTAGATGGGGAAGAAACCCTGAGGGGCTCAGCTCAGACAGAACGTTTAGCGTGGAGAACAGGGAACGGATGTGAGAAGAACCCAGAACCCACCAGCGCAGTCCCTACCCACAGCCAGCTTCAACCCAGGTTCCCAGGCCCAAGGCACCCTGCACATGGCCCACATGCCTTGGAGCCTGCACCTGGGTTGGGATGGTCTCCAGAGTGCAGGGAACAGGCTTCTGGGTATCGGAGCCATGAAGACGCCACAGAGTCCTAGCATCACCCCATCCCAGAGTTGGACTGTGAGCATAGAGGGACAGGGGTGAGCATGGGGTGAGGTGGCTGGGGAGCCCAGTGCACCCTCACCTTCTCCAAGAGTGGCTTGACGCAGTGCAGCGTGTCCTGGATATACTGATTCAGCTCCGGGTGGCAGGACATCTGCACACAACACCATGCGGCTGGTGAGGCCCAAAGCACAGATGGGGAAACCATCCAACACGACCAGGAGCCCAAGGCCCCGTCTGCCTTCCGTCAGAGGCCCAGCAGCTCTCCAGGGCCCCCTACCCAGAAGACCCCACTTTCCCTCAAGAGGCTAACAACTGTGAATTTATCCATGGAGAAAGAAGTTAGAAGATAAGAACTCAGGCTGGGCGCAGTGGCTCACTCCTATAATCCTGGCACTTTGAGAGGATAAGGTGGGTGGATCGCCTGAGGTCAGGAGTTTCAGACCAGCCTGGCCAAAATGGCAAAACCTCGTCTCTACTAAAAATACAAAAATTGGCCAGATAAGGTGGCATCTGTAATCCCAGCTACTCGAGAGGCTGAGGCAGGAGAATCACTTGAACCTGGGAGGCGGAGGTTGCAGTAAGCTGAGATCAAGCCACTGCACTCCAGCCTGGGCAACAAAGCAAGACTCCATCTCAAGGAAAAAAAAAAGATAAGAACTCAATCCCAATATGAGCATTTAATATACCATTAGGGGTTCTTAATGTGGGGTCCATGGACTCCTCCAGAGTCTGAAAAGTCCCTAAAGTTGTATCTTTGTGCACGTGGGCATTTTTCCAGAAAAAGGATCCAGAAAAACGTAATCAGATTTCAAAAGTTAAGAACTAAGGAACTGTGTGGCCTCAGGTAAATTCCTTAACTTCTCTGAGCTTCAATCACTTCATCATAAAGAAAAAGTGAGTAAATGTCAATTTTTTTTTTCCTTTTCCCTCTAAAGGTGACCTTCAACAACTTACTATGGGTTTGTTGTTGTTTGGATACTATGGGTTTGTTGCTGTTTGTTTGGATAAAGCCATCAAATATCGCCAGTGGAAAATACAATTAATACATGTAACATACAGAACATCATAGCTTAGCCAGGCCTACCCAAACACACTCAAAACACTTACATTAGCCCACAGTTGGGCAACATTATCTAACACAAAACCTATTTCATAACAAAGTGCTCACGCCTGTAATCCCACCACTTTGGGAGGCCAAGGCAGACAGATCACCAGAGGTCAGGAGTTCGATACCAGCCTGGCCAACACAGCGAAACCTTGTCTCTACTAAAAATACAAAAATTAGCCCGGTGTGGTGGCACACGCCTGTAATCCCCAGCTACTCGGGAGGCTGAGGCAGGAGAATCGCTTGAACCCGGGAGGTGGAAGTTGCAGTGAGCCAAGATCATGTAACTGCACTCCAGGCAGGGCGACACAGCGAGACTCAGTCTCAAAAAATAAAATAAAATAAAAAATAAAGTGCTGGCTTGGCCTGAAGTGGAAGAGGTTTTTTTTTTTTTGAGACGGAGTTTCGCTCTTGTCACCCAGGCTGGAATGCAGTGGCACAATCTTGGCTCACTGCAACCTCCGCCTCCCAGGTTCAAGCGATTCTCCTGCCTCAGCCTCCTGAGTATCTGGGATTACAGGCGTTAGCCACCACGCCCAGCCAATTTTTGTATTTTTAGTACAGACGGGGTTTCACCATGTTTGTCAGGCTGGTCTCGAACTCCTGACCTCAAGTGATCCGCCCGCCTCGGCCTCCCAAAGTGCCAGGATTACAGGCGTGAGCCACCACACCCGACCGAAGAGTTTTTAAAAGTCCACCCTGTACCCACTCTGTGGTTCTGGGACGTGCCTCACCTGGACTGGCACGTTGTACTTCTTGCGTTTCTGGAAGATGCCCACAGGGTAGACCTCGCGCACGTAGAGGATGAGATGCACAGCCACCTCCAGGAACTCGCAGAGCACATCGGCCACCACTGCAGCGGGCACAAGCCGGTGGTGCGCTCGGGGAAGCCCGCCAGCCCAGGCGCCCCCGCCCCTGACCCCGCAGGTCCAGCCTCCCTACCTTGGCCAAAGTTGAGGTCTTGTCGTGTGAGCGTGGTCATCCTTCCCGCTACCTGAGTGGTGGGGCAAGGGCAGAGGGTAGTTCCAGACACCCAGGAGCCCAGAACCCGCTCGCCTCCACCGTCTCTTCCCTCCCCACAGTCCGTGGGAACTGGGGCATGACCTCCCGCTTCGCACAGGCTCAGAGCACCTGGGAAGAACCCCCAACCCGACGCTGGCGTCCGTGCTTGGGGGCATCAGCCTCTATCCACTGGCCGCCTGCGCCCCCTCGCTCCGCTGTCTCGGGGGGTGGAAAGATCACAGCGGTGCCCCCGAAAAGGGCAGGGCCGCGGACGCAGAGGGAAACAGTTGGATGCGCAGGGCCGGCAGTGCAAAGCGGGACGCGCGGAAAGCAAAGCTGGGTTGGAATAAGACTCCGCCCCCTGCCCGGCCGGATCCCTCCCGGCGGGAATCCGCCCCCTCTCCCTCCCCTAGTACCGGCTCTGGGTTCGGTTCCCGCCCGAGATCGGGCCCGGCCCCGCCGCGGGGAGCCACCGACCGGACCGATCGCGCCTCCCGCTCAACCCGGGGCCTCGGCGCCGCTGGGTGACGTTCACGGCGCTCCGGCGGGTCCTAGAGCCCGCCCCGCCCAGGCCACGCCCATTCCCGCGCAGTCCAAACCCGGCCTCGCACAGAGCGGTTCCGCCTGCGGGGACTAGGCTCCGGGGGGCGGGGGCCGGGTCTCGGCGTCGGGGAGGGGCTGAGACCCGCCGCTCCACCTCCCTTCGACTTCAGGTGGGCGCGAAGACAACACAACGTTGATCTCCAAGTTCCATCGGATTGCTACATATCTTCCCCCGAGGGCGTTTCTCTCGCTTTAGCACGCGCCGGAAGAGGGCGGGTAGGGGTTGCTGGGGAGGGCAAAGGGGAGGGCGCAGCTGGGGACTAAGGGCAGCCACATCTGAGCTAACCCGAGTCACCATTCCTGCAGCTGCCCACCTAAAAGAGGCTCCTCTGGCTCGGGGGCGGGAACAGGGGAGGACAGGGTTGCACCGGTTGTCAAGACCCGGGTGAAATTTTAAAAATAAAAAAAAGAGGGCGTGCACCGGCGCCGCCCCCGCCCCGCCCCCACCGGGTACCTAAATACAGCCTGGCCTGACGGCCCAACAGGATGAAACCTCCCCGCCCTACGCTTCAGAACAATAGCTGACCTTTATGGAGCTCCAGCCGAGTGCTGGGCACTGGGCTACGTGTGTCCTTGGATTATCTAAGTCCCCGGAGTAACTCCATGAGGCAGTTACTGTGACTGTTCCCTTTATACAGATGAGTGAAGCGAGGTGCAGAAGGGTGAATAACCTGCCGGAGTCTCCCAGCTAGTGGGGTGGGCGATGGCCGAGGTGCCTCCTGCCGCTACCTTTTACTGCTCCGAAGTCCCCCACGGACATGGACTCCGTCTGGAAGTCCTGAAAGGGCCCTCAGAGATGATATTATTAAAATAATAAAAAATGACTAGCATCGAGTGCTTCTTATGTGTCAAACACTGATTCCTTTAATTCCTTCCTTAACCCTAGCAGCTAAATCTCCACTTTACAGCCCCACTTTACAGATGGTTAAACAGGCCCCGAAACGTTCTCTAATTCGCCAAAATCACATAGTGGGAATACAAACCTAGCTCTGATGCCTCTTCTGACACCAGGGCTTCCACTTATTTACAGCCCCCTTATTTTACAACTGAGAAAACTAAGATCTGAGAAGCAGCTACGGAGTTAGTGGGCAACAAGTCAGGACCAGAAGCCAAGAGGACTTTGTCTGCGACCTCCAGGGAGGTAAGAGCTTGTTAATCCCATCCGTCTGTTTGGTCACAGATCTAGCCAGGCTTGTTTATCATTTACAGCTCATTATAGGAGACCCGGATCCCTCCCCCGACCCCCTGATGCCTTCAAACCTGCATTTCCAGACTTCTAATGGGGAGAGAAAAAGTAACTTGTAAGTAACCCATTAAGCTAGGAATGTCAGCAAAACATTTCTTCAAATGCAGTCCTAGGAAATCTGCATCAGAATCCCCCAGGAGCCCATTAATCACAGCTGCTGTGCTGCCCAGAGCAACCTGATCGAGGTGGGGTGCACAGCAGGGCACTGGCCCTTTAACAAGCTCCCCAGGGGCCCGGATGCCCAGCAAAGTGTCGGAATCGCCACAGAGGTTTGGACTGTTCCCAGAGAATATCTGCATTTTGTAAAAATGTGATGCATTTTGTAAAATTGTGATGTAAAATCATCCATCCAAAGGGATGGATGATTTTGTTTTAGGAACTGGTGCATTTGGCAGCACATTCTGGGCACAGCAACCCTTCTCAAGACGTGGGGATCCTGCCCACATCATGCCATTTCCACACAGAGCTGGCCAAACAGCTCACTGGCTTATAGACAGTGTCCCGTGGTTCCCTGAGATTGACTCATTGCAGAACTTGGGAAAAACAAGCGTCTTTCCTTTCCCTCTCTGGAGGCTGCTTAAGCAGCTTTTGTATTGGTGACAGGCAGTGGCGGTCATAGGGGGCAACTCCTTGCAAAGGAGCCCTTCAGATTGGGGCCTGGGGTGGGGAAACTGAGAGTCAGGTGACTCCTGTGGGATGGCCTTCAGGACACAGTGTGAGGGGCACTGGGGCTCAAGTCAGGCCCTCCGTCCATGGACTCCCAGCCCCAGCCCTCTGCCCCGAGAAGACACAATACAAGCCACCCATAGAATTCCTGACACACAGAGCTAAGAACGTGAGAAAAACCTTGGGGGACATAAACTCAACCCTCATTTTTCCTTGGGGAAACTGAGGTCCCAACAGCTTTTGACACTGGGGTACCCACCTTGTCAACTAGAAACCTGTGGATAAAAATATCTGGGTTTGCAAATATCGTATGTTCTCACTTGTAAGTGGGAGTTAACCTATGGGGATGTAAAGGCATAGGAATGATATATTGAACTTTGGGGACTCTAGGGGAAGGGTGGGGAGGTGAGGGACAAAAGACTATGTATTGGGTACAGTCTATACTGCTCAGGTGACGGGTGCACCAAAATCTCAGCAGTCACCGCTAAAGAACTTATCCATGTAACCCAAAATTATTGCAATTAAAAAAAAATGTCAGCTGGGCGCGGTGGGTGGCTCATGCCTGTAATCCCCGCACTTTGGGAGGCTGAGGCGGGCAGATCACCTGAGGTCAGGAGTTCGAGATCAACCTGACCAACATGGAGAAACCCTGTATCTACTAAAAATAGAAAATTAGCCAGGCGTGGTGGCACATGCCTGTAATCCCAGCTACTCGGGAAGTTGAGGCAGGAGAATCGCTTGAACCCAGGAGGCGGAGGTTGTGGTGAGCTGAGATCCAAGATCGCACCATTGTACTCCAGCCTGGGCAACAAGAGCAAAAACTCCATCTCAAAAAAAAAAAAAAGTCTGGGTTTGGGGCCTTGGGTTCAGATCCAATCACAAACAGAAGGAAGGTGGGCTAGGAAGCAGATGGGTAGGGATTCAAACCGATCTGACCCCAAACCCCCAAAAGGCTTCAGTCTCATTAGTGAAATGAACAGGCCAGACAGATGTTCCCTAAACCTCTGATGGCCTCAGGTTCCATGGGGGTGGGAGCAGGGGCAGGGGGCCGAGTCAGCATGGGCCCATCCGGGGAGCTCTGCCAACGCTCCATCCATGGGCTTCTCAGCATCTGGTTTTGCATATCTTAATTGTATCAGCATGATGGATGGTCACGGGATCCAGATTACATTATGGGGTTAATTTATTACATTTTTGAACACCCGTCTGCTGGGAAACTGTTGTTCAAAGTTATTTGCATATTTTTCACCATAATGACAATATGTAGGAAGGCAGCTGGGAAGGAAGGATGGGTGTTTAGGGGGAGCGAGAGCTTATTTGCCAACTAGAGCAGGTCCCTGAGGATCTGCAATGGGGATGGAGGGAAAATCACTCCCAAGAGACATTGAAGTGGAAACTGAGAAGGTGAGCTGTGAGCACCAGCCCAGCAAAGAGAAAGACCTGCACGGGCAGAAGAGGACTGCTGGGGTTTATGGAAAACAAACACACAGTGAGTGAACCAGGTAATAAGGTTTCCAGCCCCCAGAGGTGATTCCAAGACCCCTCCCATCTCCACCAGGCTGATGGCAGAATGAAGGTTCCCAGGACACCAATCACATGGGTATGGGGGACATACAGAGTGAGCCACACATAGCCTGGTGACAATCTCCTGATACCCTGATGCTCAGGGGCCCATCCAGTTGCAATGACCCTGGGCAGGGACCCAGCCTCATTCATTATTTCAATGCAGTGCCTAGCCAAATTCAGGTTCTCTCTCTCTGTCTTTTTTTTTTTCTTTTCTTTTCCAGAGACAGGGTCTCTCCTTGTCACCCAGGCTAAAGTGCAGTGGGGCAATCATAGCTCACTGCAGCCTGAAACTCCTGGGCTCAAGAGATCCTCCTACCTCAGCCTCCTGGGTAGCTAGGATTACAGGTGTGCACCACCACACCTGGCTGATTTTTAAAATTTTTTGCAGAGGCAGGATCTCACCATGTTGCCTAGGCTGGTCTCGAACTCTGGGGCTCAAGTGATCCTCCTGCCTCAGCCTCCCAAAATGCTGAGATTACAGGCTTGAGCCACCATGCCCAGCCCAAATTCAGGTTCTCAGCGAATGTGTGTCAAATGAGTGGATGAAAGAATGAGTGACAGAGGAATGAAATGATGGTGGACAGTGGCTCATTACCACTTGCCTGACTTGAATCTCAACTGAGTCTGGATGAGGAGCAAAAGACATTGGCTTCAGTGCCTGGGCTATGGGCACTATGCAGAGAAAAGTTATTTTCAAAAACAAAAGCAAGGGCTGTGGCATGTTCCCTATGGTGTCCCCAGCACCCACTCGTCCTGCTCATGTGTCCAGCCTGCTGCTTCTCTCCCCAGTGCTGCCCCTTAACCAGCTGTGAGGCTCTTCTTTCTCTGAACCTCAGTTTGCTCATCTGTAAAATAGGATAATGGTAGTTCCAATTTCATAGGATTGAGCAAAGAGCAAATGCTTATGTCCATGTTCATATTTATAAAAAATATAAAGTGCACAATGCCAGGCACAGTGGCTCACTCCTATGATCCCAGGTTTTTGGGAGGCCAAGGCGGACGGACCACTTGAGCTCAGAAGTTCGAGACAAACCTGGGCAACATGGCAAAAACTCTACAAAAAATATAAAAATTAGCTGAGCATGGTGGCATACACCTGTAGTCCCAGCTACTTAGCGGGCTGAGGTGGGAGGATCACTTGAGCCCGGGAAATCAAGGCTGCAGTGAGCCATGTTTGTACCACTGCACTCCAACCTGGGTGATAAAGTGAGACCCTGTCTCGAAAAATAAATAAATAAAATGCACAATGCCTGGCACATAAATGCTCAATTAATAGCTGTTATGACAATGATATTAAGGTCTATATACACTATTTAAGCCCCCAGAACAAACACTCTGCACAAGCTGTCATGCTTTTCAAAACCCCATCCAAACCATCTTTAGCGGCCTCCCCATAGCTCCATTTCCATTTCCCAAGGCAGCAGGCAACTCCCAAGCTGCCCTAGGGAGGACACGTGTCATCACGGAACAAGACGCCTAAAGACAAGGGCTTCCGGCCGACAGCTCCTCTCCGCTCTCATCTGCCTTCTGGTGTGAGGCCTGACCTGGTCAGCTGTCCCAGATCTCGGGGTTCACTGCTGACCTGAGATGGCTTTCAACACTGCAGCCAGAGCAAGGCCCTCACCCACCATTCCCTCTGTGGGATTCTACTGATTCCCAGTGTTGCTGACCCTTCAGTGGTCAGGGGGACCTTGCTGATCATCTGCTCTTTTTTCATAGAGACAGGGTCTCACTGTGTTACCCAGGCTGGTCTTGAACACTTGGCCTCCAGAGTTCCTACCTCAGCTTCCCAAAGCTCGGATTACTGGCATGAGCCACCACGCCTAGCCTGGTCGTATGTTCTTAAACTTTGGGCTTCTATACAGAGACACAAAATGTCTCTTTCTCTTTTTTTTTTTTTTTTTT